ACCTTGATGTTGGGAAAGTGTGAAGGCAAGAGCAGAAAGGGACGACAGAGGATGAGATGGTTGGACAGTGTCATCGAAGCTACCAGAACGAATTTGACACAGCTCCGGGAGGCGGTGGAAGATAGGAGAGCCTGGCGTGCTCTGGTCCATGGGGTCACAAAGAGTCAGGCATGACTAAACGACTAAACAACTAATTTTGTCCTATTAGAGACCTGAAGGGAAAAATACCATCATCTTTGCCTCCAGCTAGGAAATTGGGGAAACAAAACGCTGCACTTCCGCCCTCCCAGAACTAACAGCAAATCCACTATGCCCCATCCATCAATCAGTGGATAAACACCTTTTTCCCTGACTTCCAAATTGGCTCCAAAGGCCAGTTGCCCTGGAGTTAAAAAGCTAGAGGCAAAATGCTCCAGCCTCTGCTATCAGCCAGAAACTAACAGCTGTTTGATTGTGTGTATCTGTGTACTTAAAGGCACACAGACTCATATTTCCAAATCATATTATGCCACAGAAATTATAGAAACTGAACAACTTCCTTGCTTTCCACTTCTTCACCAATTCTTTCTACCTTTCTTTTCATGTCATTGGATTCCACGCTGTCATAGACCACCTTATTTTTATTTCTCTGCAGGGCTTAGAAATTATGAGGAGCATAATAAGTGATAAACAATAGCTTCTTCAGTCTGAGGAAAGGTGGTAGGAGATCCCTGATATATCCTCCACATTGGTTTCACTTCCCCCTAGTCTGAACAGGCTCATTAGAAGGACAAAGGACTGGGGGTGAGAGATAATCCCACTTCTGCAGTCCTTCTTCACCCATTGGTGTGGGTCATTGAGGGTCGTTAACAGTGGTCTTTCTGGTGTGTGTGGTCCTAATCTTTCTGGGGACAGATGAAAGGGCAACATGATAAATAGGAGACAGATTGTATCTAAGGCCTCCACCCCTGTTGAGTGAAGGATTTTCTATATGCACCTGTAGCGCCTCCCTCACCCCTCTCTCAAACCAGAGAGATCTCCTACTAACTCTCCTCAGACTGAAGAAGCTACTTGGACTCTGAGTAGCAAAACATTTCAACCTAATAAGAAAGATAAAATGCTTCTAGTGTCCTTTCCCCTGAGAAGCAAACACACGTACATACAAACACAGATACATGTGTGTGCATATGCACACACATACACACAGCAAGCATTCACAGAAAGACTGTCTAGTTGTTAAGCAAGATTAAAAAAAAAACCCTATCTAGTGTTTGAAATTCTTTAAAAAAGCAGTTTTAGAAGAGGTAATTGTGTCAGTCTGTGCATATATATAAGGCAAAACGAAAACTAAAATAAAAAAGATAAAATACAAAAATTTCTGTGGCACATTAAAGACTAACTTATATTTTAATGTAAGCTTTCATGGAACATCTCGCACTTCTTCAGATATATGAGGTACAAAACAGGTATCACACTAAAACACTCATAAAGCAGTGACCATCCTAATTTTGGGCATTTGACACAATTCACATGATGCATGCAGTCTGCAATTTTGCACAAGAATTTTCTTGTTTTGTGCAAAACTTCATTTTCATCAATGCAAAGGCTCTATCAAGAGCATCAGGAAATTCCTCAATCTCAGTCTGAGACATAATAGCTGTTTGTTTGTTTGTTTGTTTGTTTGTTTAATTTACCACTCATCTGGCTTCAAAGGCCACTCTGGGTGGTTTACAACACGATAAAACAACATTAATTATAATACTATCAAATAATATAAAACGAATAAGCAAATAGTAAGCATTATACTAAGCATTATAATAAACATTATAACATAAAAATACAACACAGAAAACTATTTTAAGGAGCAATCAAGATAGCAGAATGAATAACTTAGGAGCTGGTAGGGATTCTGATGGTGGAAGGTTAGGAACAATACAATTTGTAGTCCAAATCATCTGGAGAACATCAGGTTGGAAGACTGATGTAAAGTCACAAGGAATCCCAGACTTGCTCAACCAGCTATCATTTCTGTTTTAGGTCATTCCCAGATGACTGTGTCTTTCAGCTGGAGCTCCTCTGGGCATGTAAAAAAGAGCTCTGTGCTCTGATCCAGCAGAGAATGGTGGCAGCGTCTGCTGTAAAGCATTAAACCCCAGTTTCTGGAGCCTAAGTCGAGAGGCTAGGATGCCTTTCAAGGGGTTTCCCCACCTTAAAGGTAAATTGTGCTGATCTCTGGTGGTCTCACAGGCTAAAGGCTCATAGAAAAAGGACTTCCCCTCTCCTCTAATCTCTTTACATGAAGACCTCTCTTTTCAGGCATGCCTTCCCTCAATGACTGACAACCTGAGTGAGATTTTTAAATGAATTGTTGTCCCTTACTGTTTTGAATGTTTTTGTGTTGCTTATAATTTTTTATGTGGTATTGATCCTTTTCAGTAGTTGTTTATTCACTGTTGTTAGCGTTCAAATGCTGTCTTTTAATGATGCAAGCCACCTTAGATCCTTTTAAAGGAGAAAGGTGGGGTAAAATATATTTTAAATAAATAAAAATAAGTAAATAATAATCCAGCCTATGAAGTGACTAAGAGGTGAATTATTGACAATCTTTTTTTTTTTTACATTCTGACATTAAGTGGTTTTCTTTCCTTTTAAGTGTGCCATGGAGATAATAAATGCAACTTGGATAAAGATTAAAGTTTTGAGCTCACTTTTTTTAAAAAGCACTTCTCCTCATGCTAGCAGTTGGAATTTAAGATCAAGAGTTCCACCGTATGGTTGCTAATTCTTTGGAACAGGTGGGAAGACCAATGCTATTGGGTGACCCAGCAGAACTGTCACTCACATTTCTCCACCCATGGCTTCACACCAAACAAAGCATGCAAGAAATTTCTTTAGAGTATTTCTATACACAGCACAATCTCTTGGCAAATTTCCCATCCTAGTTAGAGACAGGGTATACGCTGCAAAGTTATCTACCACTATTCTGTTGCTTCCTAAGTGACAGAACTTCCTTATACTTCATGGTGTGCACTGTGCACAGGGAACGTGCGAAAAGACTGTGCTGCACAAGAAACACTTTAAACACATTTCTTGTTTATGAACTGGTACAGTTTAGTGGGTTGGAGCACCAGGCTGTGGACTCAGGAGTTTGGGATTTGAATTCCCACTGCAACTTCTGAGAGAGGGATCAGCTGAAATAATCAGGAACATGTGCGGCTAATGGAGTTGCATCCTCTGTCCACTGTGCAGCCTTGAGCAATCCAAATAGTTCCTGAAGGAGGGATTGGTAAACCATTTCTGATTACTTGATACCTAGAAAGCCCTGTCTATATGTTGTAAACATTTATAGCACAGCAGTGCTTTAATCTGTTTCTTACTGCCTCACACATGGAAAAGTGTGAACTAACACCATGGAAAGAGTTCAGGAGAACTACTATGAGAAGCTACACCTTTGGCAGTTGATATGTGATAGATCTCTTCAATTTCAACCAAATTTTGATGTTGCAGTCATTATGTGATGCTTGCAGTAGATGTACTAATTTATCCTATGCTAGCTGCAGTCATTGTCACCTGAGGACAATGACTGCAGCTAGCATACAAACCAAGCTTATGGAAACAGTTTAATTCATGTGACAGAAGATGTGATAGAAGCCTGTTGACATTGTAAACTTTTCAGTTGCACTAGCCTGCAACTCAAGCCAACTGGATGTGGCACACCATTTCAGTGCAGATGCATAAAATAAATTTCAGCACTCTTACCCTATAGGTAGATCCATTCAGAAACCTTGGGGCCTATGAAATTAAGTTACCAGATCAAAACTGCTCGTTCTTTGCTAGCTGAAGTCACTTTTCTTGCTAACAAGCCAACCCAAACGATTCTGTGACAAATGGAGTTCTGTGGATTACTTGATAGTCTATACATACATGTATTCTTGCAAGGTCGCCCCAGGGAAACCATAGTGGCAGATCAATGTTGCAACAGTAAAGGATGTCCTCGAATTCTAATGTCTGTTGCAAGGAGCTGTGGTTAGCACTTAATTTCTAAAGTGGGCAGTTGTCAGGCTTCAAACCAGCCTATCTAGGTGCACAGCTATAGCAGTTCACCAGCAATGGTGCAAAAATAATTTGTGATATGAGCAGAAAGAGCTCCCCAACATTCAAAAATGCATTGAGGGGGCTGAAACTTGCCAACCATAGGACCAAGCAAGGAGGGCACCTTTCCCAAAATTTGTGAGGCAACGTGCTTCCCAGTCACTCCACAAATTATGACTCCTGTACACTATATTCTCAAATATTCAGGGGGAGGGCATTCTCTCATAATTCTATACCTTATTTATTCACTGCACTTTTGGAGGAACAGAGTTCTCTGGGGGGCCTCCTGAGCCCCAGTAAAGGGCACTCCTTCTTGATTTGCAGACATGTGCTTTGAGGCAGGTGGAAGACTGTCTCTGGATAACTGGGCAAAAATAAATAAATCAAGCAAGCCAACAAGCAAACAGGTTCTTTGGGCTGCAACCCAATATCCACTGGGAAATGAGACCCCGCTGAATTAGGCGGGATTTACTTTCGAGTAAAATGGTCTCTACCTGAAAACCCCTAAAAAGGGTGGCTATACGTCAGAAATGACTTGACTGGCACGTGATTATTATTAAGCATAAAGGCACACCAGCTGTGGGAACCTGCGTGTCTTGAGCTCGCCCTCACTGAAAAGCAAAGATGGTGCTCTGGGGGCGGGGTGGGACCAAGGTGGAAAGAGAGACCAGGTTTTGATGTGAAGGTTTTTTCA